GTGCCCATTTGTATGGGTATTTGTATTTCTATCTACCTCGGGTATATCTAGGAATAGAATTATGCATCATACAGTAACTGTGACCACCTTTTGAAAAATTGCCAGACTATTTTCCAAAGTGGCCGTACCATTTTACATTCCCACCAGTGTACAAGTTCCTAATTTCTCTACTTTTTTTTTTTAGACAAGATCTCACTCTGTTGTTCAGGCTGGTCTTGAACTTACTGTGTAGCCCAGGCTAGCCCGGAACTCATGGCAATCCTTCTGCCACAGCCTCCCAAGGGCTGGGATTACAGGTGTACGTCCTACACCTGGCTCTTATGGTGCTTTTGATTTGTTTCATATTAATGAAGGTGAGCATTTTTAAATATACTTTTTGTCCACCTGTATATCTCATTTTCAGAAATATTTATTCAAATCCTTTTATCATATTTTAATTAGTTGTATTTTCATTTAGTACTTCTTTATAAATTCTAGATACAAGTCCCTTATCAGGTTGTCCTTCTACTTTCTTAGCGATATCCCTTGAAGCATAGAATTTTTAAATTTCGGTGCTCTTCCATTTGCCTTTACTTTTGTGCTTAGGCTTTTAGTGGAGATATGATGTGCTTGAATTTTTTTTTCTTCTTTTTTCGGTTTTTTTGAGACAGGGTCTCACTATGTAGTTGAGACTGACCAAAACCAACTATCCATCCCAGGCTGCCCTCAGACTCACAGTGATCATCCTGCCTCAGCCACCTGAGTGCTGGGATTACAGACGTGCACTACCATGCCCAGGGACTTGAACTTTTTAAAAGATCACTCTGGTTGCTGCTGGCTGAGGATGAGGGAGGGAGGAGATAAGAGTGGAAGCAAAGAAATAAATTAGGACTTTATTTTAATAACCCAAGTGAGGAATAATGATGGATTAGACCAGAATGCAGTGAAGTGGATGGTTAGGAGTTATCAGATTCTGGATTCATTTTGGAAGTAGACCCAGAAAATTACCGAAGGTTTGGATGTGAGAGCTACCAGTGAGTGACATCCTCAGCCCAATTCCCAGATTTTTTTTTTTTTTTTTTTTTTTTTTTTTCATTTTTTGAGACAGAGTCTCATTATGGCGCTTCTCTGGCTAGTCTTGAACTTGTGGGCTCAAGTGATTCTCCTGACTCAGCCTCCTGAATAGCTGGGACTGCAGGCTTGTATCACTATTTTTGGTTCCATTTCCCAGACTGTTGACCTTCAAAACAAGAGGAAAAAATTTGTCATTTGCTGAGATAGCAGAGACTCAGTCCCTAAAAGGGATGACTGAGGTCCTTTTCAGTTTGAGATACTTACTCGTCATGCAGGTGTAGAAATTGCGGAAGAAGTTAGATGATGCTTTTGGAGCTTTGGGTGGGTCAAGTGGGAAGCTGAAGTCATCAGCATATGGACTGGTTTAGCAATGGAAATGGCCAGGATTCCTTGCAAGAAAAAGATGTTGAAGGTCAGACCCAGAGTGCTGGGATTACTCCTGTGTGCCACCACACCCAGCTAGATTCTGTCTTTCTGGGCAGAGTGTTAGGTGCCTCCTGGGAGGGAAGGAACTGGTAGGGCTTCTTCAGAGGCCAGCTACCACTGTGAGGCCTGGGGCAGTCCCGTGTCAGAGGATTTAGAGACCAGAGGTTTCCAACAAAGAGAATGTGAAGGAGTGGCCAGCCAAGTAAGAGGAGGAAGAGCTCTGAGCACTCTAGCCTCTGCTTTCGTTCATTTCCTATACATAGAAAGTGTGATTTCTTTCTCCTGTTGCTTTCCTAGAGAGACCAGAGCAGTGCTAGGAGAGCTGTGGCCGCAGTCTGGGGCCAAGTGAAAATAATAGGGACAGAGCGTTAATCCTCCAAGTGACAGTTGGGATTTTTTTCTCAGTCTTCAGTTGAAAACACGGAGAAGTGCTTTAAAGGCCGGAAGAGAAAGGGTGGGAGCTGTAACCAGTAATCTGGACCACTTAGCAAGATCCTGCCTCAAATTCAAAGGAAAATTAAGACTGGGAATGTAGCTCAGCACTTCTTGGGTTCAGTTTGAATCTCCAGTATTGAAGAAAAAGAAAGAGGGGCAGAGGGGAGAGAGAGGGAGAGAGAGCAAGAAATTAAAGAAAAGATAAAAGGTGCCTGGGGCACACGCCTATAATCCCAGCACTCTGGGAGGTTGAGGTAGGAAGATCACAAGTTTGAATCCAGTCTGGGCAATTTAGCAATTTCAGGAGACCCTGCCTCAGGGTGAAGGCCTTGGGTTCAAACTGCAGTACCACCAAAAGAAAAGAAAAGAAATCATTCTCCTCGCAGTGATTCAAATTAAAATCACAGTGAGATGAGATGAACTGTGTACCCACCAGAATGACTAAAATTAAAAAGGCTGACGGCACCAGGTGCTGAGGTTATAGAATAGCTGGAACGCTCAGGACGTCTTGCTGGTGGTACTCAACCCGAGATAACCCACTTGGGAAATCATTTGGCAGGTTTTAGGACAGCTAGTTACACACTTGACTGTGTAAACCAGCCGTTCCACTTTGAGGTCTTTACTGAAAGGGTACAGAAGCCTATGTTCAGAAAAGGTTGTGTACACAAATGTTCATAGAAGCTTCCTTTGTAGTAGCCAAAACCTGGAAAGAACCCATATGTCCAACTACCACTGAATGAATAAAGAATACTGGCAGAATGGAATATTAGTCAGCAATAAAAAAACAACAAACTGTCGGTTAATTTTATTTATCAGGGGGGTACGGGGGATTGAACAAGACCCTTGTGCTTGCGAGGCAGGTGGGGGAAGCACTGAGCCAAACCCCAGGCCCTTGGTAAATGTTAACAACGTAGATGAACCTCAAAAACTTTATTCTCAGCAAAAGAAGCCTTAAAAAAGAGTACTGTATGATTCCATCTCTGAAATTCTACAAAAGGTAAAATCATTCTTTACCAATAGAAGGCAGATACATGCTTGTCTGATGTTGGAGTGGAATAGAGATTAGCAGCAAAGGGAAGGAACTCTTTTGGGGTGAGAGTAAGGCTTTGTATTTTTTGTTTGTTTGTTTGTTATTATTTTGCCCAGGCTGGCCTTGATCTTGAGATCCTTCTTGCCCGTGTCCTCAGCCACTGGGATTACAGGTGTGCACCACTGTGCTTGGCTAAGCTGTTCTTTTTTTTTGAGACAGGGTCTTGCTATGTAGTTCAGGCTGGTCTTGAAGTCATTATGTAGCCCAGGCTGGCCTTGAACTCTGGCAATCCTCCTTCCTCAGCCTCCCAAGTGCTGGGATCACAGGTCTGCGCCACCACGCCTGGCCAAACTATTCTTGAAATGAGTAGCTTTGTGCTCATAAATCATACCTCAACAAACTCGATTAAATGAAAATTAACAATGAGGTACAACTCTATAACCATCGTATTGGCAAATATCAATATATTTAGGCGGGGGATGTGGCTCAGTGGTTCGCTGCCTGCCTCGCAAGTGCAAGGACCTGAGTTTGATCCCCGGTACCAAAACAAAACAAAATACTGGGGATCAAACTCGGGTCCTTGCACTTGCGAGGCAGGCACCAGGACCACTGAGCTACATCCCTGGCTCTGTATTGGGAGATGTGTCAGGCATGAACGAAGATGCAGTTGAAGGGGAGCTCTTCTGCGTCATTGACAGAAGTGTTGGTTCAGCCGCTGTGGGCTGTCCTGCAGAGTTACTGGCTGTTTCCCGTGAGTTGAAAATGTTCAAAAGTGTGATCTAGCAATTGCATCCCCAAATATGCACTGCGATCGACAGAAACTCCCACAGATGTGTGCCAGGGACATAAACTGACCGTAGAATAATTTATGGTAGCAAAAAACCATAAATAATCTCCATAGAGGTCAATAGGAAGGTAGGTTGATAAGCTTTGGTGTATTCAACATGGGTAGACGTCAGAAATGTGTTTTGGTTTTGGTACCGGGGATCGAACTCAGGACCTTGTACTTGCAAGTTAGGCGGCAGCACGACTGAGCTAAATCCCCGGTCCCTAGAAATATAATATTGAGTGACAAAAGGAAGGCAAAATGGTCCATGTGTGATGACACCATTTATGTGAATTAGAGCCTTAGAAGAAAACACCATGAATTGTTCATAGATGTGTGCATGTGTGTCTGTGTGGGTACAAGTATAAAAACAGGACCAGAAAGAGCAACACCAAACCTGTGACAGTGGTTGCCTTGGGGAATGCAGGAGCACAGGGGAGGTGAGTCTTACTTAAGGGAATTGGTGTGTGTGTGTGTGTGTGTGTGTGTGTGTGTGTGTGTGTGTGTGGTTTTTTGAGGCAGGGTCTCACTGTGTAGTTGAAACTGACCTGGAACTCACTATGTAGCTCAGGCTGGTCTTGAACTCACAGTGATCCTCCTGCCTCAGCCTCCCAAGTGCTGGGAATACAGGCATGTGCCACGGTTTAAAGGAATTGGTTTTTTTTAGTAATATCTTTTTTTTTTCCTTTTTCGGTGCTAGAGGTGAACTGAGGGCCTTCAAGGCAAGTGCTCCACCACAGAGCTATATCCCCAACCTGGTGATGTTCTATTTCTTTTTTTAAAATTGAGGAAGAACATTGACAAAAGTAGATTTTAAAATATTGTTAGTATTTCTCCTAGTACGTTTTTAGAAAGAATAATCTTCCGGTGATCTTCGGAGAAAAACCTGGTGAAGAGCATTATAGGCCAGAGATGGTGGTGCATGCCTGTAACCCTTGCTACTTGGGAGACTGAGGCAAGAGAACCACAAGGTCAAGCCTAGCCCAGGCAACTCAGTGACTTAGTGAGATCCTGCCTCAAAATACCAAATAAAGAAGGTCTGAGGATATAGCTCAGTGTAGAGGCCCTGAGTTCAATCTCCAGTACTAGGGGGTAAAAAAGACATTAGACATTAGAGCAAGGACATTTAAGCCCAGAAAATAGTACATTGTTTTTCTGTTTGCCTTAGGGTCTTGATGAATGTGATGTAAGGACACCCTGCTAACCCCTGCCACTCTTTCTCTCTTTCAGGATAAAAGCCCCAAAGCTGTCATCAGCATCAAGGACTTGAATGCCACTTTCCAGACAGAGAAGATAGGGCACCCCCATGGGCTGCAGATCACCTATGGGAGAGAGAGCCACACTCGGAACCTGTTCCTGTATCACGAGAGCGGGAAGGTGAGGTGCCCGGTGTGGCCGCCCCCGCCTCCTGTGGGCACCTGGGCGCTGCAGGCTGGGCTCACTGCCTCCCTGGCTTGTTTCGAGGTGCACTCTGTTGCCCCTTCGGGCTTGCTCCTGCTGCTCACCTTCACCTGTTTTCATTTCCTGGTCTGAGATGGAGCTATGAGGAAGGCAGAGTGAGATGTGAGGCAGGAAAGTGGCAGGTGCCGGGGACATATGTGAACAGTGCATGGCCGCCAATGAGAGTCCAGTTAGCAGAAGGCCCAGCGAGGGCGAATCGAGCCAGGGCAGAGACTCTGAATAGGGGAGGTACTCCCCACTTCCAGGACAGGGAGGTCAGGTGTGAGCCTTGCTTCTTGGCTGTTGTCCTGGATTCAAAGCTTTGGTTTCACCCGCTTGTGAGAGCTGGAGCCTCAGGTCCAGGCAGACCTACTCGATTAGCAGCTGCCCTCTTGACAGGGTCCTGGGCCATCCCCTGATGCGCATTAACGCTAAAAAGCATCACTGACTGGGCCAGGAGGTCAGCTCAGGCAGGAGACCAAGTCCAAAAGAATGATCTAGATCAGAGCCTGAGTAGGGTCAGATCATGGGGCAGGGGACAGAGACGCCACCTAGGGGAGGAGGGGAGCTGGGGCTGACGGTTTTATCTGTGGCCTCTGTTGGAAACACCTGCTGCTGAGTGTTGCGTATCAGGTCATAATCCCCAAGACAACCCTGAGGACGTTTTGTGCCCGTGCTCCTGAGAGAGTGGACTTAGTAGGTAACTTGCTCAGGGTCACATAGCCCTGTACCCATTTGACCACCCCACATGCCTCTGCTGCTGGAGAACCTTTGGCGGCAGGATCCAGAAAGTAGGGGCATGGACTCGGCCTTGCTGAAGGTCTCTCACACCGGGGTGGGGACCATGGGCTGCCCTGGCAGTGGCCTTCTTGCTTCTTTCATGTTCTGGGTGGGTGCCTGGAGCCGTAGTCTGAAGTGCAGGGAGCCGAGCCTAAGCCTGTCGCTCCTGGCCGAGTCACTGGGACAGGTCCCTTCCCTCCTGAGGCAGTTGGTTTGTTTGTAGATTCTCCCATCCACCTCTCAGAGGGGCTTTAGAAGCGGGTGGGGAGGGGTGACCGAGAAGCATGGATGTGTTTCATAACCTTGGAGTGCGTTACAAGCAGTTGTTGGAGTTCTTTGCTCATGACCACACCACATGTGCAGGACAAAGTCGATAGCCAATCTCACGCCTGCGTCATGATTCCCAGGTGAATTCACAGTCACTGAATTCGGAAGGATTGAGCCTCTGCAGAGTGCCGAGGTTCTGGGGAGCATGGTGGTGAAGGATGCCGAGCCGTGGGCCTCCAGGAGGAGGGAGTCAGGGAGACAGGCACTGATGACCGGGTGTGATGGGAATGGCCACACGTGTGTGTGTGTGGTGGGGCGCTGTATCAGAAGTCTTTCCCGAGGAAAGTTTCTGTTTAAGAACTAGTTGCTATGCTAAAAAGGAGCACACTCAGCCAGGTGTGGTGGCGCACACCTGTAATCCCAGCCCTCAGAAGAAGGCTGAGGCAGGAGGATCGCTGTGAGTTCGAGACCAGCCTGGTCAGATCAGTCTCAACTACCCAGTGAGATCTTGTCTCAAAAAAACCAAAAAAAAAGGGACCACACTCAATCTGGTTTAAAGGACGTGGACTGGGAAGATATGCAAATATTTATCTCAAGGGCCAGAGTATGGCTGGGCCTTCTGAGAGATTAGCATCGGGAGCTGTGTGTGAGAGAGAGACAGAGACAGAGACAGAGATGAAAACAAGGAGAAGAGAGAACAAGAAAATGAGACAAACGGTGGGGGAGGAGACTGAGAGAGAGAAAACCCGCACACTTTCTAACACATACACGTTATTCCTAGGCCCGGGATTTAGCCCAGTAGTTCCGCCCCCTGCCTCGCAAGCGCAAGGTTCCCAGTTCAATCCCCAGTACCAAAAATAAAACAAAACATTTACAGCCATACAAGTTATTCCATCACACTAGGTTTCAACTAAAGTCATCCTTTGTTTCTCTAAATTCAGGGGCCTCATTTCCAAGTTTAGCAAGAAATCTAACTATTAGTCACCTTTCCTCCTCTCTTCTTTGGTCTTACTTGGGGCCTGGACAGTCTTGGAGGTGTAGAGGGGATCCTTGGTCCTCAGACCGTGGGGTGGGGGTGTCCCTGCCGCTCTCCCCATATCCAGCCTGGCTAGACACCAATGGCAGCCCCTCCACACCAGGCACTGCCTCAAGGACTTCTGCTGAGATGCAGCGTCTTTGTCAGTTCTGTAACCTGGCTCTCTCCCACTTGCCCAGGGTGGTGCAGCTGGCAACCCAGAGGTGGCCTTCCTTCTCTTTCCCTGGGGACTCCAGCTTCTCTGTTAGATGGGCAGTAATGGGCCGGGGATTTAGCTTGGTGGTTCTGCCCCCTGCTTCGCAAGCAAGGACCTGAGTTTGATCCCCAGTACCAAAAAAATGAGGAAAGGCATCAGAACACTGTACGTACAAGATGGGCATTAATGACAGCGGCAAATTCATGCTTGCAGGAGCAAGCTAGGAAATTCAGAAGTAAAAGGGTGGAGGTTGTCACAAACAGGAAAACCTGCATAGAGAATTGAAACAAAAACAAACTTTCAGGAATCAAACATGTATGCAGGGGCTAGGGATACAGCTCAGTGGTACAGAATTTACTTAGCATGTGCAAGGTCCAGGGTTCAATCTTCATTTACTGCAAGAGGGGGTCAAAAAAAGAGAAGCCCAAACATTTATATAGGTTGGATTTGGCCCCAGGACTAACTGTCTCTGACAGGAGAGACTTTGTGAAGTGAAGGCCTGGAGGCGTTTTTTTCTTAAACATTCCTGGAACAGGACTGGGGATTTAGCTCAGTGCTTCCGCAGCCTGCTTTGCAAGCTCAAGGTCCCAAGTTTCAACCTTAGTACCAAAAAAAAAAAAAAAAAAAAAAAAAATTCCCGGAACAATGATCTCAGAACTTTGGAATACTAGACCCCTGTCCTTAGGGCAGTGAAAGGGAGAAAATTGTTTAATTCCTTTGAAACCATACTCAAATAACTTTCTCAATCACAATATTACATCAAAATATATTACTTCAGGGCCAGGGATTTAGCTCAGTGGTTCTGCCACCTGCCCTGCAAGCACAAGGACCCAAGGTCGATCCCAGGTACAAAAATAAATAAATAAATAAAAATAAAATACACATGCGCACACGCACGCACACACACACACACACACATATATACATACATACATATATATACTTCAGTCCACACTGAAGGTATTTGAACAGGTCTTTCAGCCTCCCAATTCCAGACTCCTGGGAGAGATAATATGATAAGCCCAATTAAGCCTCTGTGCTATACCTATGCTCTTTCCCTTTCTGTGGCCAAGAAATGGACAAAAGGTGGGGATGTGGGGTATGCGTGGTGGGGCGGTTCTTAGAGAAGCAGGTCTGTGGCTGAGCAACCACCCACCAGTTTCTTACAACAGCTAAGCTAACCTGCAGGAAGACTGACATGGCCTAGGTAAAAGCTATGCATGGTTGGGTGCGGTGGTATACGCCTGTAATCCCAGGTGCTCTCAGGCCGAGCCAGGAAGATTGCTGGTTCAAGAGCAGCCTGAGAAATTTTGGAAGATCTCGTTTAAGTTTAAAAAATAAAAAGGGCTGGAGGTGTTGCTCAGTGGTAGAGTGCCCCTGAGTTTGATCCCCAGTACTAACAACAATGTGTGTGTGAGGGAGGTTGGTGTGAAACTGTGTCCAGCTTGGGGGAGCGTCCTGTGCTGTGGGAGGTGAGCAGTGCGTGAGGAGTCAGCAGTTGTGTGTGGAAGGTGCTCAGAGGGCAGAGTAAGTCATGCTAAAGAATTTAGGGTAGGGCTGGGTGTGCGTAGAGCTTGCCTAGTGCGTGCCAGGCCCTGTGTTCAGTTCCCAGTACCAAAAAAAGGCAGGAAGGAAAAAGAAAAGGCAAACCACATTCTAAGCCACGTGTGTCACTTCCAGCTCACCTGAGCCCTCGCGGTGGCTCTGAGTTCTGTGGCTTCCTGCTTGCTTGGTGGCCCCTGGGCTGTGATACAGTCCTCCGAGGATGGCCCTAGGTGGAGCTGTGTGGTGGGGACGGATGTGCCAGAAACCTCACAGCCCTAACCCCACCACCTGGGTCAGTTGCCACCACCTCAGTCTCACCAGCTGTCCGTGTTCTTTGCGTTTTTCTTGGTAGGAGATCGTGGACTGGTTCAACGCTCTCCGAGCAGCCCGTCTGCAATACCTAAAAATGGCCTTTCCTGACCTCCCGGAGGCTGAGGTGAGCTGGATGTGGACCCCAGCTTCTGAGTCTGCCCACTGCCGCCTCCTTTTCTCTCTGTCTAGGTCAAACTATGTTTGTTGCAGGCCAGGTCTTGAGATTTGGCGGGGGGCTGGGCCTCTACCCCAGGGGAAGCCAAAGACTTGGTCTTGGGCAGGCTGGAGGGGTACGAGTGAAGCGGCCTCCAAAAAGCAGGTCATTTTTGGAATACATGGCTGTGATCACATTGTCAATGGGCTCAGCCTTTGAGGGTCTCTTTCTGGCCTCTTCTCGCACTCAAATGTACAGATGACCCCTAAATACTACTTACAAAGTGCTTTTAACTCACTTTATTTCCTAACCCCTTTTATCTAGTCATCCCCTAGAGCGGGCAATTACATGGAGTGATTATTCCCATTTTACTCATGAGAAACTGAGTCCCAGGAAGGGCAAGTGAAGGGTCTCAGAAGGCCTTGGCACCCTCCCATTAGTTAGGAGCAGGTCTGTTTGCGATGGCCAAGGGATATTAAGCTCGAGAACTTCATCTTAATTGTCCCCAGACATCCGGGGACTCCACCCTCAGTGGTGGCTAGGGAGGGCCCACATGTTGCACATGTCTGTGCATGTCTTTCACTGACTTACTATGTGACCTTGCAGGTCACAGCCCCTCTCCAAGCATCTGTTTCCATATTGGTAAGATGGCGGTTGCTTCAGGTCAACTTCAGGACCCTCCAACTCTGAAGTGCTGTGGTCTGATCCCTATTTTAGGCTCCCCTCTGAGAGAGTTTTGAAATGACTGAGGTGGAGAGACCATATTAATGCTTGGACTTTTTTTTATTTTTTTAATTCCTGTTTGCTGCTCCTTGAAAGCCTAAGTCTTCCCCAGTGCCCGGGTTGCAGGGAGCTCGGTGTCTGGAACAGGGTCCACTCTGGGCCCAGGGATGCAAGGAGTCGGCAGCTCCCCGGGGTCAGTTCTAGCAAGGCTGAGGTTAGAATCCTGGAGGTCACGGTGAGTCAAGGTCAGTGTGCTGGTTATGGCTGGTTCCTATTGGCCAGAAGTCCAGAGTGTGGACTGGTGACCAGGAGGAGGAAGGACAAAGTGCAGATGCTCTGCCTTATTTAATCTGGGCCAGCTTCCCGTCTTTGCTGACTTGTATGCGGGAACTTGGTCTTTGGCTAGTGTCCTCAATGTCCCCTGGCCTCCCCTTGAGCATCACTACCCTTGTGCATCCCCAGGCTCCTCCCAGCACACCTCTCTGTCTTTCCTCTCGCCCTGTGTCTGTGTGCCATGTCAGGCTCTGGGCCGCCACCCCGGCCTGGCTCAGACTGAAGGGTTCAGATGCTAGAAATTCAGGGAAACCCTGTGGGCTTGTGGTCTTTTCATCGGGAGCCCATGTAGGGCTGGGAGGAGAGCTCAGTGGATGAGTGCTAGGGCAGCATTTGTTAAGATCTCAGTTCACAGACTCTGAAGCAGAGGGCAGGCCATCTCGCTTCTGTGAGCCTCTGTGTGCTGTCTGTGACCAGGAGGACAGTGGCTACCTTAGGGGCTGTTGTGGCAATCGCAGGAGCCCCGTGGTCTGCAGGCCAGCAGTGAGCACTCCACCCCGGTGATGTCTCTTCCTCCCGTCATTTCCCTGGGCCTGGAGTGGCCCTGTGCTCGCTCAAGTTCAGGAAGCAGACAGAGCTTCATCTGTTTTCTGTAACGGAGGATGAAAGCCTCTCTAATGCATTTTGGGAGAAGGGATTTTCATTTCTAGCTCCTGACCTTCCTCTTTTCAGACCTCCCATCATAGGAGGCCAGTGCCAGTCCCTGGCAGCCTTTCTGAGCACAGGGCAGGCAGCTGGAAGGGCTGCTGGTGGTCACGGGACTGAGTCTCCTCGTTGTGCAGGGACCCAGAGGAGCTTACCGAGGTCACGTGGCTGGAGGAGGTCAGAAGCGCAGCCAGAGCCCAGGTCTCCTGACTCCTGTCTCCTGTTTACCTACTCCGTTGTCACCTCCTCGTGGCCCTGTTGCAGCGTCCCTACCAGTGCCCAGGCCTCAGCTGGGGCCTGCTCAGAAGGCTCTGGCGTGTTCACACTTCAGTGTCATAGTGTGGTGGCCCGGCATGTGGCTGCCGCTTCCTCATGCTGTGTGGCTTTGAGACTGACAAGACTCTCCTCCCAGGGTGGTTGAGAATCGCACCCAAACCCTGCCACACAGTAGGGCCTGGGACAGTGCTCCCTGGCCCCAACAGGGTCTCCTCGCAGCCTTGCCTGAAGGAGTCCTTAAAACAAGCCCTTCACCCCTGACTCAGCCGTGCCAGGAAGCTCTGCAAACATCTGGGGTGCTGTCGACTGATTTTGTTGAAACGGGAACATCACACCTTCCATATATAACCCAGCCATCGAGTATACACTTCCTTCCCCATCCCGCACTTCCCCTTTGGTCTGGGAGCCGAGCTCTGGGAACCTTGACCTCTGGTGTGTGAGTGGGGGTCAGCGTCCATCTCTCTCCCGACAGCTCGTCCCCCTCATCACCAGGAACTACCTCAAACAAGGCTTCATGGAGAAGACCGGTCCAAAGGTACATCCACCCCTCCTTGGGGGAGCCTGTGGGCCCGGCCCTGGCCCAGTCACCAGTAGGGCAGGATTGGGGAGGTGAAGGAGTGGGGAGGCAGGGCTGCAAAGGGAAGGAAGGGAAGTTAGCTCAGGTGGAAGTTCCTGGACTGAAGGTCTGAGCGGCGTTGGCAGGGCCGTGTTCCGACTCGCTCTGGGGCTTCTCCCTCTCCTCGGCAAACTCAGTTTCCCTCAACATCAGCTTCTTTCCTCTGAACTCGTGCGACCACCCCTGCCCCTGGGAAAGGGGAGCTGAGAAGGGACTCCCTGGGGAGACAGCTTTGGGGCGCTCCAGAACCTCTGGTGCTCTGTGCCAGGAGCCCACCAGCACTGCCAGGGGAGACCGGGCCTGTGACTGGCTGAGGAAACACGCGTGCTCCGTGGGGGCTGCCCCAGTGTCCCCGCGCGCCACCTCCCCAGCACACCCTCCCTGCCTCCAGCTCGGCCTGGCTCCCCTTGCCGAACCGCCACCAGGGCTTTCTCATGCCCGCTTCTCTGTGCAGGAGGGGAAGGCGGACGCCATTGTGGGGCAGGGCCTGGATGCTGAGCTGAGGGAGGCAAGTTCAAAGTCAGAAGTCCGGCTGGAGGGGGTCCTGGTGATTGCAGGGGCTGTGGGAGAGGGGAGAAGGAGGGAGAAAGCAGAGCTTCCCCCTGAAACATTCTGCAAAAGTGGCGGCATTCTAGTTTATTTTTAAAGGTTTAATGTGTTCCTGTGATACACTAACTATTAAAAGGAGAGCGAAATTGTCAGGAGATAGCATAAAGGAAAGCCTGGGCAGGCTGAAAAGGTTCCTTCCTCCACCAGCCAGGCACAGCCCCTCTCCGTGGCTCTCGCCCAGGCCTGGAGCATTCTCCCTGCTGACTGAGGTTAGAATGTGACCAGGGCCAGTACTTTCAGCCCTGAGGAGCAGGAGCCACTTCTGATTTTCCCAGCTCCCTTTTTCTGAGACTTCTTTGTCCACAGCCTGAGAAAGAGGGAAGCACCCCTTCCAACTCCAGGCCGCACCTGGAGACAGCAGGGCCAAGTAGGCAGAGGGCAGAGCTGGGTAAGGTGGCAGCTGGGGACTGGGAGGGGAGGGGCAGAGCCCAGGCCCTGGGGAGAAGCACCAGGGAACCTGACTGGGAAGCCAGCAGGGCTGGAGAACCAGGGGGACTGGCCCGTGGCCTAGGCTTGGCCTGAGCTGATCCCGACCTCTGTCCCCTGCTTTACCATCCTGGTAAGAGGTTCCCTCTCTTGCAGCAGAGAGAACCTTTCAAGAAAAGGTGGTTTTCCTTGGATCCCCAGGAACGGAGGCTGCTCTATTACAAGAACCCCCTGGTAAGAACTACTTCCCGAGTTACCCAGACCAGGGCTTAGCCTGAGTGCTGGGATTTCACGCCTGCGCCATCACATCTGGCTAGGGCTTCATCTAACCAGGAGGCGAAGAGTGGAATGGTTAGAGGTGTGGGCCTGGAAGGCAGGGGTCTGGCTCTGTCTCAGCCCTGCCTTTGCAGTGGCTGGCATGCCCTGGGTAGAGGGTACACTTAGCTCTCTGTGTCGCAGTTTCCTCCTCTGAAACAAGGCTTACTTTATTTATTTTTTGTTTCATTTTGTTTTGTTTTTTGAGACAGGGTCTCACTATGTAGTTGAGAGTGGCCTGGACCTCACCATGTAGCCCAGGCTGGTCTCGAACTCACAGTGATCCCCCTGCCTCAGCCTCCCCAGTGCTGGGATTACAGGCGTGCACCACCACGCCTAGCTAACAAGGCTTAAATGCCTTGATCGGAAGTTGCTGTGATAAATGAAGTTGATGTACTGTATGAGTTGCAACATACAAAGCACATGAGTTCCTCGTGCTCAGTGAGCTCTCTGTAAACCTTAGTTATCTTTTCAATGGAGGATGTGTCATTTGTTTTAGGATTTCAATGTAGCAGAGCTGTCAGGGGTGCAGGGACCCTTCTGCCCCAGCGCTGGCTTGGGACGTACAGACGCCTTCTGGTTTTCAGGATGCCTTCGAGCAGGGCCAGGTTTTTCTGGGGAGCAAGGAGCAGGGATATGAAGTACTTGAAGAGCTGCCCAAGGGAGTCCGGGGAAATCGCTGGAAAGCAGGCCTCACCGTCGTCACCCCGCGGCGGAGATTCGTCCTCACCTGCCCCAGCGAGAAGGAGCAGCGGGAGTGGCTGGAGTGTTTACGGGATGTCCTTTCCCGCCCCTTGACACCTCTCCACCTCCTCGGTGAGCAGCCACGGGCCAGGGCGGCGCTCTTGGCTGGGGACAGAGTAGGGCTTCTGCATTTGGGCTCAGCTGTGAGGCCCAAATAGCCCTGACTCTGTGCTTTCTGTGGTCTTCGCTTCCTGCCTAAGAAAAGCACAGACGCTGCGCATCATTACCACAGAGTCCCCTGGGCACCCCAAGTTCCTCTAACAGAGTCCTTGTCCATGAGCTTCTAGAGGAATTTGGCCCTGGCTGAACCTTTGAGGCCGCCTCTCCCCTGCCTGCTTGAGCAGCTGGGCAGTTCCCTCACCCCTGGCCTGGCCTTTCTGGCTGAGGTCGCCCTGCTGAGCAGTTCCTGGGATCCTGGATTCCTGGCTCCACTCTGCTCTGGGTGGGGTGGGGCTATTTATGGTGCTTTCTTTTTTCAGTCTCTCTCCTACTCCTTGTCACAGGGAGACTTCCCTATCTGCTTGTGGCCCTTGCAAAAGGCCAGATGTGCTGAGCTAGAACAGAAAACTTGTGGCCCGGGCCTGGCTTCTGGGCATGAAGTTCTTTCTGGAAAAGCACAGCTAGAGCAGGTGACTCCCACAGAGTCCCTTGGGGGAGCCCTTGTGCCCTCTAAGTCTGCTGAGGATAAGCACAAACTCTCTTCACTGTCCCAATTCTTGAAGCCAGAGGAACTCGGAAACCAAGAAGGGATGCTGCTGTTTTCTTTTGTTCTGGGCCTGAGTCTCTTGGTTCCTCTCCTTCTGTGTGTCTCTGTCTCTTCATTTTTTTCTCCCTCTCTGGGATGTGTGTGTGTGTGTGTGTGTGTGTGTGTGTGTGTGTGTGTGTGTGTTCCCTTTGTCATTTTTTCCATTTATTTTTAAATTTTATTTTTGCTTTTCTTTCCCAACAATGTGTGTGTGTGTGTGTGTGTGTGTGTGTGTGTGTGTGTGTGTGTTCCCTTTGTCATTTTTTCCATTTATTTTTAAATTTTATTTTTGCTTTTCTTTCCCAACCTATTTTGCTTTTTTGTTGTGTGCATAGGGTTTTGTTTTTGTTTTGTTTCACTATGTGACCCAGGCTCTCCTTGAACTTGTGGAAATCCTCCTCCCTCAGCTTCCTGAGTGATTACAGGCGTGCACTATCCCACGCTGCCCCAAACTTTTTTATTCTAGCTCCCCTGATATCGTATGCCTTTCCCCAGAACTGCCCTCACATGGCCACCTCCCTCAGCCCCTTTGTTTCCCTTCCAGGTGCACCCATAGAGAGTGGGCGCAGCAACAGGTGACCTTCGGCTGAGGAGCTGGCCAGCCACCTGGTGCAAAGGAGAAGTTCTCACTCTGCCCCTCATGCCCAGCAAGGGTGCCTGAAGCCTGCAGCCACCCCTGGCCATGAGCAGCGCACAGACTGAAGCTGCAGTTTATCTTCCTGCTCCCTGGGCCTTCCGCACTGCCCAGATTTGGGGAGCTCAGGCTCCAGTACAGTACCTACCCCCCACCCAAGCACACCCAGGCTTGAGGCACCCTGAAGGCCCAGCACTTCCTCCGATCTTAAATAGGAGCATGGAAATGTAGGGGCACCCACAGCATGGTACAAATGGCATCTTGCCCCATAAGTAAAAGTTCAGTCTGAATCTAACCATAAGGAATATAGACAAATTCAAATTCACAGGGCTGGGGATTTAGCTCAGTGGTTCCGCTGCCTGCCTTGCAAGTGCAAGGACCCAAGTTCGATCCCTCGTACCAAAAAAAAAAAAAAAAAAGCAAATTCACATTAGGCAATTCTACTAAACAACTAGCCTGGACTCTCAAAGATACAGTCTGGAAATTTGAGATGAAAAAGGACTAAGAACTGGCAATCAGATGCAATTCATGGTTCTTGGTTGGATCCTGGATTTTAAAAATCAACACCAGTTTTAGGCCTGGTGCTGTGTGTATGTCTGAAATCCCAGCACTTTGGGAGGCTGAGACAGGAAAATGGCCAAGTTTGAGCCTCGCTTGGGAAACTTAGCAAAACCTTATCTCAAAATTTAAAAATAAAAATAAGCTGGGGACACAGCTCAGTGTGAAGGCCCCTGGTCAATCCCCACTACTGCAAACAACAAAGAGCTACAGAGGATACGACTGAGATGATTGAAGAAATATAAATATGGATGTATATTGGCTAATAATATTGTAAGACTGATAATCATGCTGTATTTGTATGGGAGGACCACTGCTGAGGCAAAAACGTAGTGATGCCTACAACCAATTCCTAAATGGTCCAACAAAACCTAAGTGTACATATACATTTTTAATGAACAGAGTATATGTGTGTATATTCATACAGATACAAAGATTATACATGGGGGAGAGAGAGAACCACTGTGTAAAACGTCAGTGACTGACGAATCTAGATGAAATATATGTGGACATTTATTTTCCTGTTCATGCAAATTTTGTACAGATTTAAAAATTTTCATATTGCCAGGCGTGGTGGTGCACGCCTGTAATTGCAGCACTTGGGAGGCTGAGGCAGGAGGATCCTTGCAAGTTTGAGACCAGCCTGGGATACATAGTGAGTTCCAGTTCAGTCTCAACTACTAGTGAGACCCTTTCTCCAAAAACAAAAAAGAAAAAAAAAGTTTTCATATTAAAAACCTGAGAAAAAAATGGTTTAAATACCTACTTTTCATTCTTGAAAAATAGTGGTTTTTCTTCATGAGTTAAAAATGCTATTGGAGTTTGGCACCATGACATACGTGTAGTCTTAGCTACTCACAAGGCTGAGGCAGGGAGATCATTTAAATCCAGGTTTTGAGATTAGCCTGGACAACATAATGAGATGTTGGCTCAAAAATAAAAGTACCTGACCAGGTGTGGTGGCGCACGCCTGTAATCCCAGCACTCAGGAGGCTGAGGCAGGAGGATCGCTGTGAGTTCAAGACCAGCCTGCGCTACACAGTGAGTTCCAGGTCAGTCTCAACTACACAGTGAGACCCTGTCTCAAAAAAGCCAAAAAAAAAAGTGAAACCTTGAATAGATTACTCAAAGGGCCTAAGGTAAGGCAAACACTTTTTAAGCTAAGAGAAGAAAATGCTTAAAGGCTCTGAGATGGAAAAGGGGAGCTGAAAGGTCTCAGGTGGCTGGAATGTTAGAGAAACATTACCAAGACCCCTGCTCTATGAGTCTTTGTTCTTTTCCCTCCCATGGAGGGACTTGCAGAAACAGACTTGACTTTGATGGACACCCAGAGAGTTGAGAGAGTTGTTATGGGAGTCTCTGCATAGCCTGGTGAGTAGTCATGCATATTGTCATCCCAGCTACTCAGGAGGCTGAGGCAGAAGGATTGCAAATTTCAGGCCAGCCTGGACAACTTTGAAAGACTGTGTCTCAAAACAAAAATTTTAAAAGGCTGGGCAGGGCCGGGGATTTAACTCAGTGGTTCTGTCACCTGCCTCACAAGTTCAAGGTCCCCAGTTCTATCCCTAGTACCAAAAACAAAAAAGGCTGGGGAGCTGGGTGTGTATCCCACACCTGTAATACCAGCATTCTGGAAGGGTGAGGCCAGAGGATTGCAAGTTAATGCACACCCCAGCATGGGCAAGTTAGTGATTTAGCAAGAAATTTCAAAAGGCTGGAGATAGATGTTGCTCAGTGCAAAGGCTCTGGGTTTAATCCTCATCATAAACAAGAGGGCCAGGGATTTACCTCAGTGGTTCCTGCACCTACCTGGCAAGTGCAAGGACCAGAGTTCAGTTCGATCCCCGGTATGAAAAAAACAGTACCATACATAAGAAAACAAAGAAACAAATAGGGATGGAGGCATCAATCAACATTAGAGCACTTGCTCAGCGTACACAAGGCCCTGAGTTCAGTCCCCAGTGTTGTGGGAAGAGAACCGGTATGGGGGAGGAAGAAATCAAGGAAAGGGGAATGGGAGGAGAGAGGTCTCTGCATGTTATGGGGTTTGGACCCCCAATCACAGGGTAAGCAACATATAAGAGTCTCTCCTGAAGCCTCATGACTGCCCACATAGGAAAGCAGCTCTTCTGACTCCCAAAGCACCCTGGAAACGTCTCTCAACACTCACTGAAGACGGGTGTGGTGGCTCACATCTGTGATCCCAGCACTCAGGAGGCTGAGGCAGGAGGATCACTGTGAGTTGGAGACCAGCCTGGGCTACACAGTGAGTTCCAGGTCAGCCTCAACTACATAGTGAGACCGTCTCAAAAAACAAAGCAACAACAACAACAACAAAAACACTTGCTGGGGTGTACATCAAGGGTCAATCCCTTTTCGGCCTTTCCTACCAGCTCTGCTAAGTGTTGAGCTACTCCAGTAAGTTTTGAGGATGAGCAAATCAATCAGGGAACATATGGTCTAGAGGGGAAGAAAGAGAAAACAAGCGGGAACAAAGCTACCCAAGGGGAAACGGCTTCTAAGTGTGGGAGCCCTGTAGAGGCGCAGAGAACAGACACAAGAGGTGAAGCTCCAGTGAAATGGTCTGCCTGTTTATTGTTGGTGTGTTTTGGCTTTTTGAGACAGAATCTCCCTGGGTGGTCCAGGCTGGCCTTGAACTGGTGGCAGTCCTCCTGCCTCAGCCTCCCCAGAGCTGGGATTACAGGCGTGCACCACCATGGAAGTTTCTATTACATGAATCAGTCCCAACTGAAAAAATTCTCCGAAAGAGATGATCTCTATGCTGAATTCTAAGAATGAGTAGAAGATCCTTGAGTTGGGGTGGGAGAAGCAGAAAAGAAGCATTAGAACGGCCCAGAGAGAAGAGAAGACTTTTGGATAAGTGACTATGGCTACAGGACACGTGGCCGGGGAAGGAGAAATAAGGACAGGTGAGATCGGAAGATGGTTTGCTCCCAGGAATGGCGGAGCTGCTAACATCAGAACAACCTTTGGGCAGATAACCATGATAAACTCTGGAGAGACAAACCGAAAACCTATCCGAAGGCACTGAAAAGTGACCAAAGGCCGGAGCTGGCACTAGGAAGCAGGAAATGGCCTAGTAAGTCTCTCATTTTTCAGTTTTCACCTGAAGGCAGGCCCGAGTCAGTGCCTTAGGGAGTCACCAAAATCCGGCAGAAATCTCAATCTTCCTGACTGAAAAACAGAAGCAGAGTTCAAGGTGAGCGCAGCAACTGGAATGTGAAAGGAGGAAATCTGGGAGGAGAGGACCGTGGAGAGGACCAGTGAATTTGGTGGATATAGTGAGACTGTAGTTGTCGAACTCAATTTGTTTCAAATTCATGTTCAAACATTGAAAAGTCTGAGAACTAACCAAATTATTCCCATAAGAAATCATGGAAAATCAAGTTATTGGTTCGGAGGCCCAGAAATTGCACTTATAAATTCATTTTCCAGCCGTGCATGGTGGCGCATGCCTGTAATCCCAGCACTTGGGAACTGAGGCAGGAGGATGGCTGTGAGTTCGAGACCAGCCTGGGCTACATAGTGAGTTCCAGGTCAGTCTCAACTACATAGTGAGACCCTGTCTCAGAAAAAAAAAAAAAAATTTTTCCAGGAGTTTAACAAATTTCACAATGATTTCTTTTTTTAACTCTATCATAATTCTCACAGTTTTCTTCTTTACTGCTAATAACACCATCTTTCTTTGGAGCCATAATTATGATATTTTATGAAAATAAAGTGCAAAAAAAGCACAATGACGAATGTACTGATGTGCTAACTCAGCACTATATGTTGTCTGGGTGAGGGCAGTGCTTAGACTGAAGTGAAACACTTTTCTGTCCACAGTGACTCATTCTTGGCACATACAGGTTTTTTTTCCAGTCATATTTTCTGTTTGACTAGTTGGGACTGATCAGACCCTCAGGTACCTGTAGGGGGAGTGAGGAGGGATAAAAGAAGGCAGAGGCAAAATTCAGATATAATAAGATGAGGAAGTACCTGCCTCTAATGGACAAGCTCAACAATCTCCACTGTTGACCCACTTTTTTTAGCTAGTAAAAAGTGCAGAGTGGGGACAGGGGATTTAGCTCAGTGGTGCCACCATCTGCCTGGAAAGCACAAGGACCTGAGTTCAATCCCTGGTACAAAAAAAAAAAAAAAAAAA